TGTGTGTGTGTGTGTGTGTGTGTGGAAAATTTATATATGGGCTCCAAATTCTGCTATGGCAAGGATCAGGCTGCATCTTTAGAATTGATTGTACTGATTTTGGGATATGACAGTAGTAAATCATCAGGTATCATCCAGTCCCACCATCTACACAAGCATTCTTCTTATTCAGACATTGACACATGGCTATGTAGTTTCATAAAGACTGATCAATCTGACTGATCTGACATCCTTTATGGTTCTCATCTGAATAGTCAGAAGCAGTGTTTTTTAAATTAGTCCGCCTATGTTGAAACAATAATACAGTATTAAAATCCCATCAAATAATCATGAGAAGCAGTAGAAGCAGTGAATGTTTCAGTTTTAATCTTTAATATGGTAAATATCAATAAATATAACCAATACAAAGGAAAAGTTTGTGGGGTCCTCCATAATTTTTAAAAGTGGGAGGTATTCTGAGATGAAAAAAGTTTAGAAAGCACCAATCTAAAGGACTCTGGTCAAGGAATACACAAACTGAAAAATAAGATATTATTTAACAGCCTTCAAAAATGTTTCTTCAATTACAAAAATCATTATTCATTGTAAAAAAGAAACAAGTGGTTAGCTCTAAATATACAACAAAATTATTTAAAATGTTTTAATTGTAGACTGCTCAGAGTTGCTCTGTGACGGTGATGGACAGTCTCCAAATTTTTTTATATACAGGAGATTTATAGATGTTTTTGCTTTGTATGAAAAAATCACTGATTTCATAGGAGTCTGATGTTGGAAAAAAGTTGACTATGATCCAAGAGAACATAATTATATCGATATGTTTCTTGTTTTATAAGTGAATACATGGTACAGAACTGATTATGCATAGTGGTCCTTGCTTTGTCAATGTAAAATCAAAATATTATTTAAAATTTAAAGAATTGTTTTTCTAAGCTGATCTTGTCCATTTCTTTTCATATGCAATGAGATGGGTTACAATGTTGTTCCAATGTTCAAAGTTTCTGCCTATTGCCCTTTGTAGCCATCACATCCTACAAATAAATTCTACCCCTTTGACGACACGCAAAAGGGAAGAGCACAATGGCTTGTCCAATTATATGAATGCAAGTTCACCTGTATAACATCGTATGAAGTGTATTAAACTTGGCACAAGTATCTATATAATTAGTTAGACTTATGGAAGTTCCTTGGAAACAAAATAAACTTCTAAAAATGGTTTGCAAACTTCTAAAAAGCACAAATAGCACAAAACACCTTTTGGACTTGTGCTGGAGCCAGCCTCAGGGAACTTCTGAGGAATATGTCTCATCTGCTGTATTAAAAATAATCTTGATCTAACTAACGGTGTCTGTTCTTAGTGATGAGAAATGGCATTGTGGGTAGAACTGGACTCAGCATTTTGCTAAATTATATGATATTTAATGTCAATAAATAAAATGAATCACTTCATCTTCTATTATTATGTCAAATTTCAAGAAAATTGAGGATGAATAAAGTCTCAAAAATGCAAGATGCTATTATACATGAACTAGATTGTATGGGAATAGTCCATAACGATTTTTATTGCATATATTTTCTTCAAAAAATACTAAGCAATTAGCCATAAGAAATGGATTAAATGAAAAGAACACCAGTTCACTGGAGAACAGTCAACTGGAAGTGGTAGAAGACTGATCTAGACTAAAAACTTAAATCCGGTGTGTAAAAGATTGCAAGTAGAAAGAGTCAAGTATGAGTTTTCATTGGAAACAATATCTGCATTTTTAATTCTTCAACAGTTTAAGGCCAAGAAAAATGTTTAAGAAAAAAATGCATTCATCAAATTGACGCTTCTGTGTTACCCTAGTATTCATATCACAAGTCTTTCTCTTTTAATGAGACGTGCTTGGCATATCATATTTAATGTCTCTGAATGATATATTAAGCTCCCATTCAACTTTGTGAATAGAGAAACAGTTTGAACTCTCAATAGAGTGTTAGAAGGTAAGTCTTCATCCTGGTTCATCCAAGCCGGGAATAAATAAGCAAACATGGCAACTGCTTTGGGAAGAAGGTTACAGTTTATTGCAGAAGACAGATGGTCTTGCAAGAAGCAGCAGAGGAGAGGAAAAAGAGTGAGCACATGGGCAGGAGGTCTTTTTATACCCCCCTCCCAGCCCTGCTTGGGATAGNTGTCTTGAGATCCCTGGCTCCAAACTTTCTGATGGTTCCACATCTGCATATGTATAAGACTAACTACTGCCCTGGGCAAAGAGATGAGGCCAGGTTTGGTTTCTGCTTTTCAGAAAATGCTTTTAAAAATCCTTTTGGTGAACAATATCTTTCTTTCTGCCTTTTTAATATTTCCTTCTCTGGGTTAACTTCCCACAAGAGCATCAAAAAAAAAACAAAAACCTTCAGTAGACAAGTACTTGAACAGCATTTTCTGTTATAAAACATTCTATAGTTCAAACACAGGACAGAGAATATAATTCTTTCCCTTTAGCATACAGACATACCTAGCATCCTATTCATTTTTGGAGAAACATGACGCAAATGCAAATAAGTAAGAAATAATAAGGAAAAAAAGATTAATAACATCAGAAAAAAAGAAAGTAAAATTAATTTCTACCATTGTTCACTGTACTTCTCCATCCTTTTCTATCCTTACAAACTATTCTTGATTCCACCAAGTATAATCAATTCATACACTACCTTTTTTCTTTAAATAACCCGTCTCTCTCTTTGAGGATCTCATCAAGTGAACCCAGTTGCAATGTTGGGTTCCCCTCTTCGCCCACTCAGGTTTGATGATGCAAGTCAGGTCTGCTCAGTCATCCACAATCCAATTATGGATGAGAACAGATTTGCTGGTAGACTTGGCATTAAGTAGCAGCACTTGAAACAAAGTTTGTCAAATAACCCTGCAGCTTTCCTCTTGAGCAAGGGAGCTGGAAGGGGGAGCATATCAAGAATAACTTATTGGAGGTTTAGGGAGAAGGGTGAAAAAATTGGGGACACATGTAATACTTGTTGATAGTAAAACTCCAGCAAGACAAAGAGTAACTTTTCAAGTTACAGAGTTAGTGCAAGCAGTAGAGGCAAAACTAAGACGGGGAAGTGCATGTTTGGACAATATTAATTTCACTAATTTTCCTCGATTTTTCATCATAAGCAATAAAATGAGCTATGCTTTCCTGTGCCTTCCTTTTCCATGTGTATGCATAGAGACAAATGTTTCTAAGCAGATAATTACTGAAATTAGTAAAGTCAACATTCCCTTTCATTTTTCGGTTTCTGAATAGCCAGATATCTTTGCCCATGCTCTCTTGTCTAGTCCCTTTTCGTTTCCCATCTATTCATGTCACCTGTTCACTTTCTTCTTTTTTTCAAAAACCTCATCCCTGGTTTCTTTCATTTTTGCCATTTACCGGGGCATAATATAAAATTCTCATAAATGTATGAATTCCTACTTTCATAAGCATGCACAACTGTCTAGATGACACCAGTTCATACTTTTTTCAAACCCTTTAATTTTTTTCTTTGTTTGCTTTCACTGCTTTGCTTTTCTTCCTTTATTTATTAATTCTATTCTGTAAAATCAGACCTTTCATTCAGATCTGTATCTCTTTCCACCATTTGTTCATTTTGTATATGTGCATTGTATATATTTTCTTTCTTTCCTTTTAGTCAGTGTTATTTTTTTGCCATTTACTTCTCTTACATCATAATTATCCATTTATGTATTTAAAAGACATATATGGCCACCCATGTTGAATAGCCTTAATTGATTCAGAATCAGAATTAAAGAATAGAGCTGGAAGCTGGAGGTCTTCTAGTCCAACCCCCTGCTCAAGCAATTTCAGACAAGTGACTGTCCAGTCTCTTCTTAAAAAATCTCCAGTGATGAAGCATCCACAACTTCTGACGGCAAGCTCTTCCAGTGGTTAATTGTCTTCACTGTTAGAAAGTTTCTCCTTAATTCCAGGTTGCTTCTCTCCTTGGAGCTCAAATAGGACAGCTTGACAGATTAGTTTCCATCCATAATTTCTTGTCCTTCCCTCTGGTGCTTTGAAAAATAAATTGACCCCCTCCTCTTTGTGGCAATCTCTCAAATACTGGAATATTGCTATCATGTCCCCCTAGTCCTTCTTTTCTCTAGATTGGCCAAACCCAAATCCTGCAACCATTCTTCATATGTTTTTATCTCCAGGCCTGTAATCATCTTAGTTGCTCTTCTTTGCACTTTTTCCAAAGTCTCAACATCTTTTTTGTAACATGGTGACCAAAATTGGATGCAGTATTCCAGGTGTGGTCAGGTGTTAAGAAAGATGACTCCCGATGGGTCACAACAGTTGAATAAAATCAGTGGTGCACTGGTAAATGTTTGCCATCTTCATTGCTGCTGCCATGTTGCTATCCCCAGAACAGGTAATCAACACACTTGGCATTATTTAGTAGTTCAGCTTTGCTGTCATTTGGTTTGCGGAATTCCCCAGAATTTAACAATTGACTCACACCACTCTATAAACATAGCAATTTAATAAGGTATGATTGTTACCAAACAAATTCATATATGTTGACCTCCTTTGCCCTTCATAGTTTTGGTCAACAGAGGGTTTTATATAACTTTTTTTTAGTAAGATATAAGAAGAATAGACTGGATTGTTGGCCATAATCATACCTGCTATACATGCAAATTCCTTGATAAATGGAAGGACATGACACCAGTCAGTTTTGGGTGCTTTGGCCAATGTGTAGCGTAACCAAAGTCCAGTTTTACAACAGCCATGCTCAAGTTAGAATCTCTCATCTAGCTTGCAGACCACCACACCATCGCCTTTGACCGATCAATAATCCAGAAAACTCTTTTGGTATACTGAGACTAGTATTGATTAAATGCCATATTTCTCTCCTTTCTGAATCAAGTATTTGTATAAACTAAAGTATATTGATAAATTTCTTAAGCATACATCTAATATTGTATTTTCACCTAAATTTATTTTTTCTACCATTTTTTAAAGCACAGAACCGTTAAACTTCGTAGACAACCAGTTGGCGGCTTGGGCTTAAGTATAAAGGTATGCATAATTTTATAATTATATTGTTTTCTAACTTATAGTGCATAAAACAAATTTTATTTTTATAATCTCTTTCAGGGTGGTGCTGAGCACAAAGTGCCTGTTGTTATATCAAAAATACTTAAAGACCAAGCAGGTAAAGCAATTATTTATTTGCATAAGCAACATTTCATGAAAATGCAATAATTAAATGTTGATACTTATTGCAATGAATAAAATATTTTAAAGATAAAAAGTACTTAATTTGTCCATCCATCTAATTTGGTTTATTATTCATCTATATAGTTCTGTTGTATCCATCTTCTACTGATTTCAAATTGAAAACCAAAAAGCTATTTTTGGCCCATTTTATTGATGTTTTCCATCTATAGAGCATTGTATTATTTACTCTTCCAAGATATTCAATTTTCTAAATTTCAAACAGACTGATTTTAAAGCCCCAATTTTATGGGCAATTAAACAAAGTCAAATATAATTGTAGGAGTTGTGGGATATAATAGGAGTTCCACCTACATTTCTCTCTTTATTCCTGTATATGTTACTTTCTGTTAGTATAAATTGATCTACATTCTACTACAGCCTCAATTATTTTTCACTTATTTTTAAAACCAATGAGCATGAATGAAATTTATTAAAACTGTTAGGGTTGAACAGAATATTAATCTATAGGAGGATGCAAGCAAGCATACATATACATACACATACATACATATATAAATATACCAAATTCTACTGTACATGTATAGTAGAAATTTCTCATCTTGTCATTCTGAAACAATGCTGTCAAGTAGGAGGGCAATTTAGTGATGGACATAGCTATATGGCAAGGAAATTGCATGGAATATCAACATAAAATTAAGTAGGGAATATGTTCTGTGTAGAATCTGCCCGAAATAGTTATTAGCAACTTTGGAAAAAGAAACATCATTTATATTAATCAGAGGATACACAACTTTTTAATAACTAACAGCAATGCCTAACCTTTCTAGAAGTTCAGAAGTTACAAAATTGATAGAGCTACATGAGATACAGAGACTGAGGAGGGAATTCTCAAGAGCTGGGCTTTATGCCTACTGTGGAGTTTTGGTCAAAGGGCCTGCAAAGGCCAGAAAAAGAGGTCTTTCTGTTCATGTTACAAAAACATTTTTTGGGAAAATCTCAAGAAGCTTAGAATGCTCACAGAATTTACCATTATGAACACAAATGAAGAAAGTTTAAATGAAAAAAAAAATCTGGTTTCCTGTAATTTAAATCCATTATTCTATGTCCTGTATTCCGGAAAGATGTAAAATGGTTTTAATCATATTTTGTGTGATGTCTTTTCATGAATTTGAAGAGCACTATCATATTTCTACACCCTTGTAAAGTTTCCCCTAAAAGATATGACTAATTTACCCAAACAAAAAGGCCACTGTAAAAGTGTTGAGGAGCTCCCTGCGATCAGCACCCTGTCTTTATTTTGCATTACTGGGCCTATAGTCATATGCCAAATCAGCTGTCAGATCCAGAAAATATGATATTGATAGTCAGCTGATTACAGTGCTTTGCTTGCTGCAATGATTAGCAGGAAATAGATACAGTATATATCAGTGATGGCGAACCTTTTAGAGACCGAGTGCCCAAACTGCAACCCAAAACCACTTATGCATCGTCGGGTGCCAGGTGGGTGTGGCCCATTGGCTGGGTGTGGCCCATTGGGTGGGCATGCCCATTGGATGGGCATGGCTGCAGTGGTAACGGCAGAGTGGGTGGGACTAAAAAGTTCAATCAATCAATTCCAACTTTTGCAGGATTTTTTTTTCCGCAAGAAGTTGAAATTGACTGATTGATTGAACCTTTTTTTTTTTTTTGCACATGGCGGCAGAAGCCTAAAGCAAAAAGGTTTTATAAAACCCAGCTGAAGGCCTAGGAGTGGGGCGACGGCACGTGTGCCCACAGAGAGGGCTCTGAGTGCCGCCTCTGGCACCCGTGCCATAGGTTCGCCACCACTGGTATATATCAATCTTCCAGCTTCCCTTATGACATGGACCCAGCAACACCCAGTAAACAGATAGTCCTCGACTTATGACCACAATTGAGCCCAACATTTCTGTTGTTAAATGAAACGTTTAAGTGAGTTTTGCTCCATTTTACGACCTTTTTTGCCACACTTGTTAAGTGAATCACTGTGTTGTTAAGTTAGTAACACAGTTGTTAAGTGAATCTGGCTTCCCCATTGGTTTTGCTTGTCAGAAGGTCACAGAAGGTGATCACATGACCCCGTCATGAATAGGAGCCAGCTGCCAAGCATCCAAATTTTGATCACATGACCACAGTCATAAGTGTGGAAAACAGTCATAAGACACTATTTTCAATCCCACTGTAACTTTGAACGTAAATGAACTCTTGTATGTCGAGGATTACCTGTATTTGCAACCATTAGTGACAGTAAGGGGGGAAGGAAGGGAGAACAACAAGGTGTCTCTTGAGTAAGAAGGACAAAGAAACGATCTGTATTCCTGCATGAATATGGTGTCTATGCAGTGGTGGGATTCAAATATGTGAACAACCAGTTCTCTGTGTGGATGCCACTTCCGGAAGTCCGTTCTGGGCCTGGGCAACAAAAAATTAGCTACCGGTTCTGCTGAAGTGGTGCGAACTGGCTGAATCCCACCACTGTGTCTATGTGTATGGGTAGACAGAGGGAGTAAATAAGCAAATGAACTGTGGTTCCATATCCAATAACTCCTATTGCTCTTCCATAAGAGGTTTTTCAAAGCTGTGTCTAAATGTGAGATCTAATTCACTCAACCCACTTGCCAGCAGATAGAGGCAAGAATTTATCACAATTCCTCTGATTCTCTATATAGCTTTTGTTGCCTTTAATATTGTATCCATAGAGATCAAGTACTGTATATTAAGACAGGGAGTAAAAATAGCTGTGGAAAAAAGGAGTCTTCTTTAACAAAGAGAAAATAATACTTACAATATATAAGAAGGATATAATATGACAGTGAAATGTAACAGTAGAACCAAAAAGAACCAGTTTAGTCTTGTGGTTCAGGGACTAGGCTAGAAAACAGCAGTTTTTCAGTTCTAATCCCAATTTAAGCATAAAAGTGGCTAGGTGATTTGGGGCCATTCACTCTCCGTCAGCCCAAACCCCACCTCACATAGTTGTTGTGGGGAAAATAAGAGGAGGAAGGAATATTAGGTATGTTTGCTGCTTTAAGTTATTTCTAAAAATACTAAACAAACAAACAAATAGTATGCATATAAACAAATACACATTTCAGAAAAATTGGAATTGTCTGCATAGTCTTCCAATCCAACCTGATCAAGCAAGGCTGGAAGTAATGTTCAAATGTTGAAAGAGGCTTGTTATGAAGTGGAAGCTTAGGTTATTTTATCCCTGGTACATTTATTTGCATGTATATGTGTATGAGTGTAAACTATATAGCAAATGCTTTTCTGTGTGTTTACAAACATTGCAGGCTTCTAATATTGGTATGTTTCTGGTTATCATAAAGTCAGGCAAGCAAGAAAAACCACAATCTTTGTTGACCCAGTGTCATGTGTTTAATTCACCAAAGTACGCTACTGTCATATCTGAGAGAATTAGATGAATACTAGCTGTTTAGCAGTGTAATTTTTGTTGGAAAAAGTGGTCTGCCTTATTAAAAAGTAATGTCAACTCATTGCTTATTCAGTAAGATTGCATAAAGCTTTACATTGTCTATTCAGTCTACTAGAATGGGATTTTGTTATTACAGCAAGTTTGTAAAATTGTTTCACATTTTCATTTGAACCAATTCCCATTTATGTTGTTTTAAAATATGTACTCAAACATGAACAATTACCTCACTATTAAGAGGGGGGTTAAAGTATGCTGTAAAAACAAAAGTATAACAATGTACATATTTATTACTAAAAGCATCATTTTCCAGGCTGTTACTCCCTCCACAAGGTTCAACTCTTAGAATGTCCATCTTTGCCTGACTAAGAATTACAAAAGTGATTCCAACACAACTGGAGGATAACTGGTTATGAAAGATTGATTTAGGACATGATCCACGCTACAATTTTAAAGTATAAGAAGGGCAGAGAGAAACTGTAGAAACTTCTGCAAATGTAAACCAGATACTACTATTCTAATATCCTCCAAACATTCCCAGTTCTCTACATGCCCCAAAATACAAAGAATGCTTAAAACCAGAGCTCATGTCTATCATTCTATATATACTCTTACCATCAAGTAAATCCCATTGACCGTAGTAGGACTACTTCTGTGTAAATGTGCTCAGATTGTGCAATAAGAATATAATTCTAATAGGCAGTCTGGTATATAATTGGCCAATCTAAATCTCAGAAGGTATAGTACAGTATATTCCTGTAATTTAAAATTTTACTGGTCTATATATACATTAATCCTTTGTATTTACCACCTCATTTCACTACATATAGACAAAACTCAAATATTTTCCATTATCTACAGTCATTCACAAGAGCCAATTTGATCTAGTGGTTAAGGCAGCTAGCTAGAAACCAGGAGACTGAGTTCTAATCCCATTTTTGGTATGAAGCCAGCTGAGTGAATTGGGGTATTTCTTCTCTCTCAGTGTTAGGAAAGAAGTCACTGCAAACCACTTTCAAAAATCTTGCTGAGAAAACTGTAGACTTGTCTAGTCGCTTGTCAGGAGTCAAGACTGAATTGAAGGCTCACACATAGACTAAAAGTTCTTCTTAATAGGTATAGCAAATTCCATATTCTTTGAGAAATATCTATAGAGTTTAAAACATATTAGAAACTGGTTTGTCTGTGTTCTAACATAGATGATTATTATCTGAAACAGTAAATGAAGGAGCTCTGATCAGATTCAGGAGAGGAAGAGACAATCAGATGCATAGGAGCTGCAGCATCAGAGGCAGAACACGGGAAAACGGATGGATGTTCATGACTGGAATTTCATTTACATTCCATTTCATTTACTTCCTGGTTCTGACTGACATGCCACATTTGGCCTATCCCAGTCATGGCACACAAAATGCCTTGTACAGTTAGTCAAGTGTGCCGAAATCAGCTTTCCTCAGTTTTTGTGTATTTAACAGACAAATCAGCTATAAAATATTTATAACACAAAAACAAACATTGATCGT